AGGAAATTTTTTTCTCTATCTGTATGTACCAAAAACTGATTTTACCAAAATCCCGCAGATAGCCTGGTTTTCTCATATCGGGTCACATATAATGTCAGTAATCAATCAATGAGAGCAAGATGCATGACACATTTCACAGAACCAATACTTCTTGTTATGAGTTTTATTTAGTCTTCCACAATGCAAATGTGATTCCAATCTAAGCAGTGATCTCACACAATTGATTGTGCCCCATTGAGATTTTTATTGCATGACTTGCAATGGTAAAACCTTAATTTGTTTCTGTTCACAAGCTTGTTTATAACCAGCATTGCATTCTCAGTGAAGAACCTCCTTTATTTAGTGAACATAAACAACTTCATCCCTTAAGGCGACCAGTTAGCTTCTCAGTCCTTACTTCAACTTCTGTTTCATCAATTAAAATACTATAATGTTTCAAAGCTGTATCAACAATTTGTTCATCCACAAACTATTTCAACATCGCTATAAAAACCATTATAAACAATAATGCACTAGCACATATACTAACCTTTTCATGACTAATACATGTAATGAGATAAAAGGCAAGACGTTATCTTTCTTTTTAATTTTCCTATGGGCAAACCAACTAGTCACTTCATGACTCTTGGGACGCCCCCTTTTCTTCATAATAGGAGGCATTTTGATCTTTTTGTTTCATGCAGTCATAAAGGAAGTTACTAACCTCATATGCAAATTACAGTGCAAGGTTATCTGTATAGCACCACAATAATTAATCTTTATGTGAAAGTCAAACATTAAATTAATGTTATACCTGTAGCAGGATCTGGCAACCATGAAGCTCTATCAATAATTGGTACTATAGAATCAGATGCAAACAATTCTTGAGAGAAAAAATCATTGTAAGAAAAACTATTGCCTATAAATCAATGAAAAATTAAGACAGTATGTGTATTTTTTAATATGCACATGCTTATTATTTATTTCCTGTAATACCAATTTCTGGGGCTTCTATTCGCTGTGTCAATTCATCTGAAATGGAATTAAAAGTTATGGATAAGTATAAAAACATGAATCCATGTCACACCAATGATTTTCTTCCTCATGATGCACTTGCATTTCTTCATAAGTATAAAATTAAATATTTTTGCATAAAAAAGCATAAACTATAATGAGATTGTCTATAATCAGGTACATCATTCTCATCTGTATTCAAAATAAAGCTCTGAACGTCATCTATTTTTGCCTTAAAATAATTATCGCTGTAATATGCTGCAATATAGGATACCTTTCTCAATTCCTCCATTTTCACTTTCTGTTGCAATAAATTGAAATACCTCACATCAATCATTAAACCTATGACCACTTTCTTCACATGCTAAACAAGATAGTTTGGTTGTTTGTTTTGAAACTCAAAACTTCTCAGACTTCCATATAAAATTAAAATTGTGATTATTTTAAAATAGATTAAGTCTACTATAGCTAGATTTGTAATAGCCTTATTGTGTAATTACAAATGGTGTCATATTAATGTGTATTCACATAGTATAAAATTTTAAAAAGGGCATACAATCTATCTGAGAAAGTATCCTCTTCTTTTTGAAGAAAGGAACACTAAATTATCACATCCAGGTGATGCAGCACCAACATCATTTGAATCAGCAGTATAGGCACATTGATATGACTTGCAGTAAGGAATGTGCTACCTTTTATCACATAGCTCTGCAGAGTAAATATCATTCTTTACTTTATCTCTTACTGCTAAGATATGTCGGCAGGGAAGTTTTTTTGAAGTCCAAGATGAACATTGGCAATCATTTACAGCAACATTATGTCTAATTCCTCTAAAGAAAGTAACTTCATAAATTTCATTTGTGTCATTGGCTCTAAGTGACAAATCAGAAGTTTTATGAGATACCTTCCCTTTCAAAGCTAACTGAAGAGAAAAATACTTAAAAGCATATGGGGTAAGTAACTTCATATATTTTACAACAGTAGCATCAGGTGTACGAAAAATTACTGGAACTTTTTGAGATGAGTCAATAGCTCTGTGATTATGTTTAGAACTCACGACACGTAGAATC